GTCATTTTGACAAAGCGTACAGGCGTGACACTCAACAATGTGTATTTTCACCTTAGGGGACAAGAAAAAATGGACTTTTTTCTCCTGCCATGGGGGGGCGCTCTTTTGGGGAGTAAAAATTCCTTCACAAATGTGTTGATGGCTGGACATTGCATCATCCTAGAAAACTTGGAGGCCAGTGAGGACAAAAATAAAAAGTTATAAGACTTTTAAATATGTGGATCTTAGGGTTATCTTTGGCGCCCCCTAGAACCTAAACCGTGGGGTGCAGCGTCATGATTTGAATTACTTTTAATGGCCATGGGGTGACAGTCAATAGTGTGAATTTTCACCTTAGGGGGCGCTATGGAGCCATTTTGCATTTTCTTGTTTGGGCGACTTCGGAATATCAAATTTTTCACCAGGCCCGGTCGTCCTGCCAAATTTCCTGAGTTTTCGCCAGTGGGAAGTGGGCCATTTTCCCCTTCAAAGGGGAGGAAAAATAAGAAGAACTAGGGCCCCGTTGGGGCACTGGCGGGCCCGAGCCGCATCGCGCCGCCCCCAGCGCGACCGCCTCCCCGTCCCATTCGTGCCCTCTGGCCATCGCCCTCTCTGGTGACGCCCATCACTGCAAAGACCCTTTTCCTTCATCGGTGTTTGCTGTTCTTCCTGCCATTGCGTGTTGCTTTCACTTACACTTGCCACAGCCAGCCTCGTGAGTGCCTGGCCTGGTTTGACCTTTGCTCACCATGATTGTGTGACCTTGGTATCAGCTACTTGGGAAGTTCAACCGTTGTGGCAAAGCTTTGTTTGCGTGCTGTGCTCAACCACCTATTTTCTATGGATGTGTAAGTAAACCACTTTCTTTCTTACACAATGACACACTCATACTTATCACTCACTGCTACTGATGTGCTCTGTTAGTATGCATGCAGGAAACCTGATGAATGAAGAAATGCCCAGACTAGCCAACATCTCAATAAATTATGAGGTATGACATCACTTGAATGGTTTCCTTGGACTATGCTTCCATTATTCTAATTCTGTAATAAAAAGAAATTTTGTCCAAAAGGACTGTTGTTGTTTTTTCTTCTAATAATTAACATATTTAACATAATTAACATTCAATATGCGCTCATTACACACGTGCACACTCTTTGATGATCTGAGAAGCAGAGCTTAAAGGACAGTAGGAGTAGCTGAACAAAGTGTATTTGTAGGAAAGCCGTAAGAGCTATTGAAACGCCGTTTTCGCGGGTTGAAAGGTTAGGGTGTCCACCAAAGGTCAGAGGTCAAATAACATTTGTATCTCAAACTGTGACGTCAAAGTCAAGGTCCAAAGATGGTGTGCGCACCTGTCTTTGGTCATTTCCCATTATAATGAATGGGAGGCACAGTTTCTACCAAAACGCTCGCTGCAGACAAACTACATGTCCTATTTGAAAAAACTCTGGACCATGAGTGAGGGCACAAACACAGCTAGGACATATCCAAATGGCAAGTTGCTCCTCCTTTTGGTTTTAGCGGGAGAGCAATGCGTTTGAGCCATTAAGCGATGGGCTGGAAAAACTTGACTTTTTCTCCTGCCATGGGGGGGGGGGGGGGGGCGCTCTTTTGGGGAGAAAAAATTCCTTCACAGATGTGTTGATGGCTGCACATTGCATCATCCTAGAAAACTTGGAGGCCAGTGAGGACAAAAATAAAAAGTTATAAGACTTTTAAAAATGTGGATATTTGGGTCATCTTTGGCGCCCCCTAGAACCTAAACCGTGGGGTGCAGCGTCATGATTTGTACAACTTTGAATGGCCATGGGGTGTAGATTGGCCTGAGCAAATTTGGTGTCAGTAGAACGAAAGCCTTAGGAGGAGTTAGCCACATTCCAATGTGTGCGAATCGGCAAAAAATGCAAGATAGCCCTTTAACCGTACATTTTACAGATATGTGCCCATTGACTTTTTCGTAGATCTTATTGAGATACACGTGTGTGTGAAATTTTGTGTCAATATGACAAAGCGTATAGGCGTGACACTGAACAATGTGTATTTTCACCTTAGGGGTCATGAAAAAATGGACTTTTTTCTCCTGCCATGTGGGGGCGCTCTTTTGGGGAGTAAAAATTCCTTCACAAATGTGTTGATGGCTGGACATTGCATCATCCTAGAGAACTTGGAGGCCAGTGAGGACAAAAATAAAAAGTTATAAGACTTTTAAGACTGTGGATTTTTGGGTTATCTTTGGCGCCCCCTAGAACGTAAACTGTGGGGTGCAGCGTCATGATTTGTACAACTTTGAATGGCCATGGGGTGTAGATTGGCCTGAGCAAATGTGGTGCCGGTGGAACGAATGCCTTCGGAGGAGTTAGCGAAATTCCAATGTGTGCAGATCGGCAAAAAATGCGAAATAACCCTCTAACCGTACATTTGACAGATACGCCCGCACTGACTTTTTCGTAGATCTTATTGAGATACATGTGTGTGTCAATTTTTGTGTCAATATGACAAAGCGTACAGGCGTGACAGTCAATAGTGTGAATTTTCACCTTTGGGGGCGCTATTGAGCCATTTTGCATTTTCTTGTTTGGGCGACTTCAGAATATCGAATTTTTCACCAGGCCCGGTCGTCCTGCCAAATTTCATGAGTTTTCGCCAGTGGGAAGTGGGCCATTTTCCAGTTTAAAGCGGAGGAAAAATAATAATAATAACTAGGGCCCCGGTGGGGCACTGTCGGGCCCGAGCCGCGTCGCGCCGCCCCCAGCGCGACCGCCTCCCCTCCCGATCGCGTCACACTCAAGGTCCAAAGATGGTGTGCGCACTTGTCTGTGGTCATTTCCCATTATAATGAATGGGAGGCGCAGTTTCTACCAAAACACTCGCTGCAGACAAACTACATGTCCTATTTGAAAAAAGTCTGGACCATGAGTGAGGGCACAAACACAGCTAGGATATATCCAAATGGCAAGTTGCTCCTCCTTACGGTGTTGCTGGGAGAGCGATGTGATTGAGCCATTGACCGATGGGCAGGGTTAACTTGACTGTTTCTCCTGCCTTGGGGGGGGGGGGGGGCGATGTGGATTCTTTTAAGAATGTGGATATTTGGGTCATCTTTGGCGCCCCCTAGAACGTAAACCGTGGGGAGCAGCGTCATGATTTCTACAACTTTGAATGGCCATGGGATGTAGATCGGCTTGAGCAAATTTGGTGTTGGTGGGACGAAAGCCTTAGGAGGAGTTAGCCACATTCCAATGTGTGCGAATCGGCAAAAAATGCGAAATAGCCCTTTAACCGTACATTTTACAGATACGTGCCCATTGACTTTTTCGTAGATCTTATTGAGATACACGTGTGTGTCAAATTTTGTGTCATTTTGACAAGGCGTATAGGCGTGACAGTCAACAATGTGTTTTTTCACCTTAGGGGACAAGAAAAAATTGACTCTTTTCTCCTGCCATGGGGGGCGCTCTTTTTCGGGAGTAAAAATTCCTTTACAAATGTGTTGATGGCTGGACATTGCATCATCCTAGACAACTTGGAGGCCAGTGAGGACAAAAATAAAAAGTTATAACACTTTTAAGAATATGGATATTTGGGTCATCTTTGGCGCCCCCTAGAACGTAAACCGTGGGGTGCAGCGTCATGATTTTTACAACTTTGAATGGCCATGGGGTGTAGATTGGCCTGAGCAAATTTGGTGTCAGTGGGACGAAAGCTGTAGGACGAGTTAGCCACATACCAATGTGTGCGAATCAGCAAAAAATGAAAAATAGCCCTTTAACCGTACATTTTACAGAAACGTGCCCATTGACTTTTTCGTAGATCTTATTGAGATACTTGTGTGTGTCAATTTTTGTGTCAATATGACAAAGCATACAGGCGTGACAGTCAACAATGTGTATTTTCACCTTAGGGGACAAGAAAAAATGGACTTTTTTCTCCTGCCATGTGGGGGCGCTCTTTTGGGGAGTAAAAATTCCTTCACAAATGTGTTGATGGCTGGACATTGCATCATCCTAGAGAACTTGGAGGCCAGTGAGGAAAAAAATAAAAAGTTATAAGACTTTTAAGAATGTGGATTTTTTGGTTATCTTTGGCGCCCCCTAGAACCTAAACCGTGGGGTGCAGCGTCATGATTTGTACAACTTTGAATGGCCATGGGGTGTAGATTGGCCTGAGCAAATTTGGTGTCAGTAGAACGAAAGCCTTAGGAGGAGTTAGCCACATTCCAATGTGTGCGAATCGGCAAAAAATGCAAGATAGCCCTTTAACCGTACATTTTACAGATATGTGCCCATTGACTTTTTCGTAGATCTTATTGAGATACACGTGTGTGTGAAATTTTGTGTCAATATGACAAAGCGTATAGGCGTGACACTGAACAATGTGTATTTTCACCTTAGGGGACAAGAAAAAATGGACTTTTTTCTCCTGCCATGTGGGGGCGCTCTTTTGGGGAGTAAAAATTCCTTCACAAATGTGTTGATGGCTGGACATTGCATCATCCTAGAGAACTTGGAGGCCAGTGAGGACAAAAATAAAAAGTTATAAGACTTTTAAGACTGTGGATTTTTGGGTTATCTTTGGCGCCCCCTAGAACGTAAACTGTGGGGTGCAGCGTCATGATTTGTACAACTTTGAATGGCCATGGGGTGTAGATTGGCCTGAGCAAATGTGGTGCCGGTGGAACGAATGCCTTCGGAGGAGTTAGCGAAATTCCAATGTGTGCAGATCGGCAAAAAATGCGAAATAACCCTCTAACCGTACATTTGACAGATACGCCCGCACTGACTTTTTCGTAGATCTTATTGAGATACATGTGTGTGTCAATTTTTGTGTCAATATGACAAAGCGTACAGGCGTGACAGTCAATAGTGTGAATTTTCACCTTTGGGGGCGCTATTGAGCCATTTTGCATTTTCTTGTTTGGGCGACTTCAGAATATCGAATTTTTCACCAGGCCCGGTCGTCCTGCCAAATTTCATGAGTTTTCGCCAGTGGGAAGTGGGCCATTTTCCAGTTTAAAGCGGAGGAAAAATAATAATAATAACTAGGGCCCCGGTGGGGCACTGTCGGGCCCGAGCCGCGTCGCGCCGCCCCCAGCGCGACCGCCTCCCCCTCCCGATCGCGTCACACTCAAGGTCCAAAGATGGTGTGCGCACTTGTCTGTGGTCATTTCCCATTATAATGAATGGGAGGCGCAGTTTCTACCAAAACACTCGCTGCAGACAAACTACATGTCCTATTTGAAAAAAGTCTGGACCATGAGTGAGGGCACAAACACAGCTAGGATATATCCAAATGGCAAGTTGCTCCTCCTTACGGTGTTGCCGGGAGAGCGATGCGATTGAGCCATTGACCGATGGGCATGGTTAACTTGACTTTTTCTCCTGCCTTGGGGGGGGGGGGATGTGGATTCTTTTAAGAATGTGGATATTTGGGTCATCTTTGGCGCCCCCTAGAACGTAAACCGTGGGGCGCAGCGTCATGATTTCTACAACTTTGAATGGCCATGGGATGTAGATCGGCTTGAGCAAATTTGGTGTTGGTGGGACGAAAGCCTTAGGAGGAGTTAGCCACATTCCAATGTGTGCGAATCGGCAAAAAATGCGAAATAGCCCTTTAACCGTACATTTTACAGATACGTGCCCATTGATATTTTCGTAAATCTTATTGAGATACACGTGTGTGTCAAATTTTGTGTCATTTTGACAAAGCGTATAGGCGTGACAGTCAACAATGTGTTTTTTCACCTTAGGGGACAAGAAAAAATTGACTTTTTTCTCCTGCCATGGGGGGGCGCTCTTTTTCGGGAGTAAAAATTCCTTTACAAATGTGTTGATGGCTGGACATTACATCATCCTAGAGAACTTGGAGGCCAGTGAGGAAAAAAATAAAAAGTTATAAGACTTTTAAGAATGTGGACTTTTTGGTTATCTTTGGCGCCCCCTAGAACCTAAACCGTGGGGTGCAGCGTCATGATTTGTACAACTTTCGATGGCCATGGGGTGTAGATTGGCCTGAGCAAATGTGGTGCCGGTGGAACGAAAGCCTTCGGAGGAGTTAGCGAAATTTCAATGTGTGCGGATCGGCAAAAAATGCGAAATAACCCTTTAACCGTACATTTGACAGATACGCCCGCACTGACTTTTTTGTAGATCTTATTGAGATACATGTGTGTGTCAATTTTTGTGTCAATATGACAAAGCGTACAGGCGTGACAGTCAACAGTGTGAATTTCCACCTTAGGGGGCGCTATGGAGCCATTTTGCATTTTATTGTTTGGGCGACTTCAGAATATCGAATTTTTCACCAGGCCCGGTCGTCCTGCCAAATTTCATGAGTTTTCGCCAGTGGGAAGTGGGCCATTTTCCAGTTTAAAGCGGAGGAAAAATAATAATAATAATAATAACAAAAGAAGAATCCATCAGGAACAAGAGGGCTCTCGCAGCTGCTTAGCAGCTACGCTCGGGCCCTAACTAGGGCCCCGGTGGGGCACTGTCGGGCCCGAGCCGCGTCGCGCCGCCCCCAGCGCGACCGCCTCCCCCTCCCGATCGCGTCACACTCAAGGTCCAAAGATGGTGTGCGCACTTGTCTGTGGTCATTTCCCATTATAATGAATGGGAGGCGCAGTTTCTACCAAAACACTCGCTGCAGACAAACTACATGTCCTATTTGAAAAAAGTCTGGACCATGAGTGAGGGCACAAACACAGCTAGGATATATCCAAATGGCAAGTTGCTCCTCCTTACGGTGTTGCTGGGAGAGCGATGTGATTGAGCCATTGACCGATGGGCAGGGTTAACTTGACTTTTTCTCCTGCCTTGGGGGGGGGGCGATGTGGATTCTTTTAAGAATGTGGATATTTGGGTCATCTTTGGCGCCCCCTAGAACGTAAACCGTGGGGAGCAGCGTCATGATTTCTACAACTTTGAATGGCCATGGGATGTAGATCGGCTTGAGCAAATTTGGTGTTGGTGGGACGAAAGCCTTAGGAGGAGTTAGCCACATTCCAATGTGTGCGAATCGGCAAAAAATGCGAAATAGCCCTTTAACCGTACATTTTACAGATACGTGCCCATTGACTTTTTCGTAGATCTTATTGAGATACACGTGTGTGTCAAATTTTGTGTCATTTTGACAAGGCGTATAGGCGTGACAGTCAACAATGTGTTTTTTCACCTTAGGGGACAAGAAAAAATTGACTCTTTTCTCCTGCCATGGGGGGGCGCTCTTTTTCGGGAGTAAAAATTCCTTTACAAATGTGTTGATGGCTGGACATTGCATCATCCTAGACAACTTGGAGGCCAGTGAGGACAAAAATAAAAAGTTATAACACTTTTAAGAATATGGATATTTGGGTCATCTTTGGCGCCCCCTAGAACGTAAACCGTGGGGTGCAGCGTCATGATTTTTACAACTTTGAATGGCCATGGGGTGTAGATTGGCCTGAGCAAATTTGGTGTCAGTGGGACGAAAGCTGTAGGACGAGTTAGCCACATACCAATGTGTGCGAATCAGCAAAAAATGAAAAATAGCCCTTTAACCGTACATTTTACAGAAACGTGCCCATTGACTTTTTCGTAGATCTTATTGAGATACTTGTGTGTGTCAATTTTTGTGTCAATATGACAAAGCATACAGGCGTGACAGTCAACAATGTGTATTTTCACCTTAGGGGACAAGAAAAAATGGACTTTTTTCTCCTGCCATGTGGGGGCGCTCTTTTGGGGAGTAAAAATTCCTTCACAAATGTGTTGATGGCTGGACATTGCATCATCCTAGAGAACTTGGAGGCCAGTGAGGAAAAAAATAAAAAGTTATAAGACTTTTAAGAATGTGGATTTTTTGGTTATCTTTGGCGCCCCCTAGAACCTAAACCGTGGGGTGCAGCGTCATGATTTGTACAACTTTCGATGGCCATGGGGTGTAGATTGGCCTGAGCAAATGTGGTGCCGGTGGAACGAAAGCCTTCGGAGGAGTTAGCGAAATTTCAATGTGTGCGGATCGGCAAAAAATGCGAAATAACCCTTTAACCGTACATTTGACAGATACGCCCGCACTGACTTTTTTGTAGATCTTATTGAGATACATGTGTGTGTCAATTTTTGTGTCAATATGACAAAGCGTACAGGCGTGACAGTCAACAGTGTGAATTTCCACCTTAGGGGGCGCTATGGAGCCATTTTGCATTTTATTGTTTGGGCGACTTCAGAATATCGAATTTTTCACCAGGCCCGGTCGTCCTGCCAAATTTCATGAGTTTTCGCCAGTGGGAAGTGGGCCATTTTCCAGTTTAAAGCGGAGGAAAAATAATAATAATAATAATAACAAAAGAAGAATCCATCAGGAACAAGAGGGCTCTCGCAGCTGCTTAGCAGCTACGCTCGGGCCCTGAAAAGAAACAAAGAAAAACCACTTGGGGAATAATAGGGCTCTCGCAGCTGCTTAGCAGCTACGCTCGGGCCCTAATAATAATAATAACAAAAGAAGGAAACTAGGGCCCCGGTGGGGCACTGTCGGGCCCGAGCTGCGTCGCGCCGCCCCCAGTGCGACCGCCTCCCCGTCCCGATCGAGTCACACTCAAGAACCAAAGATGGTGTGCGCACTTGTCTGTGGTCATTTCCCATTATAATGAATGGGAGGCTCAGTTTCTACCAAAACACTCGCTGCAGACAAACTTCATGTCCTATTTGAAAAAAGTCTGGACCATGAGTGAGGGCACAAACACAGCTATGATATATCGAAATGCCAGGTTGCTCCTCCTTACGGTGTTGCCTGGAGAGCGATGCGATTGAGCCATTGAGCGATGGGCAGGAAAAACTTGACTTTTTCTCCTGCCATAGGGGGGGGGATGTGGATTCTTTTAAGAATGTGGATTTTTGGGTCATCTTTGGCGCCCCCTAGAACGTAAACCGTGGGGTGCAGCGTCATGATTTTTACAACTTTGAATGGCCATGGGGTGTAGATTGGCCTGAGCAAATTTGGTGTCAGTGGGACGAAAGCCTTAGGAGGAGTTAGCCACATTCCAATGTGTGCGAATCGGCAAAAAATGCAAAATAGCCCTTTAACCGTACATTTGACAGATACGCGCGAATTGACTTTTTTGTAGATCTTATTGAGATACATATGTGTGTCAATTTTTGTGTCAATATGATAAAGCGTACAGGCGTGACAGTCAATAGTGTGAATTTCCACCTTAGGGGACAAGAAAAAATTGACTTTTTTCTCCTGCCATGGGGGGGCGCTCTTTTGGGGAGTAAAAATTCCTTCACAAATGTGTTGATGGCTGGACATTGCATCATCCTAGAAAACTTGGAGGCCAGTGAGGACAAAAATAAAAAGTTATAAGACTTTGAAATATGTGGATTTTAGGGTTATCTTTGGCGCCCCCTAGAACCTAAACCGTGGGATGCAGCGTCATGATTTGAATAACTTTTAATGGCCATGGGGTGTAGATTGGCCTGAGCAAATGTGGTGCCGGTGGAACGAAAGCCTTCGGAGGAGTTAGCGAAATTCCAATGTGTGCGGATCGGCAAAAAATGCGGAATAACCCTTTAACCGTACATTTGACAGATACGCGCGCATTGACTTTTTCGTAGATCTTCTTGAGATACATGTGTGTGTCAATTTTTGTGTCATTTTGCCAAAGCGTACAGGTGTTACACTCAACAATGTGTATTTTCACCTTAGGGGACAAGAAAAAATTGACTTTTTTCTCCTGCCATGGGGGGGCGCTCTTTTGGGGAGTAAAAATTCCTTCACAAATGTGTTGATGGTTGGACATTGCATCATCCTAGAAAACCTGGAGGCCAGTGAGGGCAAAAATAAAAAGTTATAAGACTTTTAAATATGTGGATCTTAGGGTTATATTTGGCGCCCCCTAGAACCTAAACCTTGGGGTGCAGCGTCATGATTTGAATAACTTTTAATGGCCATGGGGTGTAGATTGGCCTGAGCAAATGTGGTGCCGGTGGAACGAAAGCCTTCGGAGGAGTTAGCGAAATTCCAATGTGTGCGGATCGGCAAAAAATGCGAAATAACCCTTTAACCGTACATTTGACAGATACGCCCGCACTGACTTTTTTGTAGATCTTATTGAGATACATGTGTGTGTCAATTTTTGTGTCATTTTGACAAAGCGTACAGGCGTGACAGTCAATAGTGTGAATTTTCACCTTAGGGGGCGCTATGGAGCCATTTTGCATTTTCTTGTTTGGGCGACTTCGGAATATCAAATTTTTCACCAGGCCCGGTCGTCCTGCCAATTTTCATGAGTTTTCGCGGGTGGGAAGTGGGCCATTTTCCAGTTCAAAGGGGAGGAAAAATAATAATAATAACAAAAGAAGGAAACATGCAGGAACAAGAGGGCTCTCGCAGCTGCTTAGCAGCTACGCTCGGGCCCTAAAGAAAGAAACAAAGAAAAACCCCTACAGGAATAACAGGGCCTACGCCCGGCTGCTCTGCAGCTGGCTCGGGCCCTAAAGAAGGAAACTACAGGAACAAGAGGGCTCTCGCAGCTGCTTAGCAGCTACGCTCGGGCCCTAATAATAATAATAACACTAGGACCCCGTTGGGGCACTGGCGGGCCCGAGCCGTGTCGCCCCCCCCCCCCCCCCCCCCCAACGTGCTGCCTCCCCGTCCCATTTGTGTCCTCTGGCCATCGCCCTCTCTGGTAACGCCCATCACTGCAAAGACCCTTTTCCTTCATCGGCGTTTGCTGTTCTTCCTGCCAGTGCGTGTTGCTTTCACTTCCACTTGCCACAGCCAGCCTCGTGAGTGCCTAGCCTATTCGATATCACTGTCGATATCATTCGCTTACGTTCTTCCTGCAACATGAGAAGGGAGGGAGGGACTCTCAGCAGGGATGCAGTCTGGGACACGTAGTTGCAAACCTAACGACTTTGTTGTTAGATTCAATGACTTTTCAGACCCCCTAACGACTTTTTTTAGAAAGAAAGGGACTTTTATCGACTTCTTCTGGAGTTTAGAGACTCTGACATGAAGCAGGCTTTCCTTACTGAGGAGTTAGCAACGCTGCTAAGGGTGCAGAGCCACACATGCGCTCAGAGCTCTGCATGGGAGACTGAAGCTGACAGAGCTGCAGCAGTTAGCAGGTTTCACCCTCAGAGACCACCAGGGGTTCATGTTGAGGCATTTTAATTATTTTTTTTTTTGTGCCATAGACACTGTCAGCACAATCTGCAGTTACACTAACAAAAATGCTGCAAAAAACAAAGAATTATGGAAAAATTACACATGGACTGACATAGAGGAGGATCTACACAAGTTTTTTACATCATGTTTTACATCATGCATCATTTACATCATGTTTTTTTGTAGTGGCATAAATAAAAAGTGACATTTGTGAGACTATACAGTGTTTTGTAAATAATTTTACAAAGAACGCCTGGGCCATTGCCTGCATTTTGATGTAAATAGAGGTAAATCACTATGTTCTTTGTTAAAAATTTGCATATGTTTAGAAGTTTACAATTTTTATTTGAAGTTTAAGTTTTAAAAACAGTTCATCACACATATTTGTGGTTTTCACAGTAAAAATGTTACTTTTTTCCACTCGGATTTTATGTTTTGTGTATGAATTTGGGTCCATTGTGTAAATTCAGTATGTCAACATGATAAAATAACTGTAAATTCGCACAGGTGAGGTTGTGCTGAAAAAAAATGATACCAGGCAAGGCACGTGATTGTCAAATTTTGTGTCAATATGACAAAGCGTATAGGCGTGAATCTCAACAATATGTATTTTCACCTTAGGGGACAAGAAAAAATGGACTTTTTTCTCCTGCCATGGGGGGCGCTCTTTTGGGGAGTAAAAATTCCTTCACAAATGTGTTGATGGCTGGACATTGCATCATCCTAGAAAACTTGGAGGCCAGTGAGGACAAAAATAAAAAGTTATAAGACTTTTAAATATGTGGATTTTAGGGTTGTCTTTGGCGCCCCCTAGAACCTAAACCGTGGGGTGCAGCGTCATGATTTGAATAACTTTTAATGGCCATGGGGTGTAGATTGGCCTGAGCAAATGTGGTGCCGGTGGACAGAAAGCCTTCGGAGGAGTTAGCGAAATTCCAATGTGTGCGGATCGGCAAAAAATGCGGAATAACCCTTTAACCGTACATTTGACAGATACGCGCGCGTTGACTTTTTCGTAGATCTTATTGAGTTACATGTGTGTGTCAATTTTTGTGTCATTTTGACAAAGCGTATAGGCGTGACACTCAACAATGTGTATTTTCACCTTAGGGGACAAGAAAAAATGGACTTTTTTCTCCTGCCATGGGGGGGCGCTCTTTTGGGGAGTAAAAATTCCTTCACAAATGTGTTGATGGCTGGACATTGCATCATCCTAGAAAACTTGGAGGCCAGTGAGGACAAAAATAAAAAGTTATAAGACTTTTAAATATGTGGATTTTAGTGTTATCTTTGGCGCCCCCTAGAACCTAAACCTTGGGGTGCAGCGTCATGATTTTGATAACTTTTAATGGCCACGGGGTGTAGATTGGCCTGAGCAAATGTGGTGCCGGTGGAACGAAAGCCTTCGGAGGAGTTAGCGAAATTCCAATGTGTGCGGATCGGCAAAAAATGCGAAATAACCCTTTAACCGTAATTTTGACAGATACGGCCGCACTGACTTTTTTGTAGATCTTATTGAGATACATATGTGTGTCAATTTTTGTGTCAATATGACAAAGCGTACAGGCGTGACAGTCAATAGTGTGAATTTCCACCTTAGGGGGCGCTATGGAGCCATTTTGCATTTTATTGTTTGGGCGACTTCAGAATATCGAATTTTTCACCAGGCCCGGTCGTCCTGCCAAATTTCATGAGTTTTCGCCAGTGGGAAGTGGGCCATTTTCCAGTTCAAAGGGGAGGAAAAAGAAGAAAGAAAGAAAGAAAGAAAGAAACAAAGAAAAACCACTTGGGGAATAATAGGGCCTACGCCCGGCTGCTCTGCAGCTGGCTCGGGCCCTAATAATAATAATAACAAAAGAAGAATCCATCAGGAACAAGAGGGCTCTCGCAGCTGCTTAGCAGCTACGCTC